AAGTTTTATTTACATTTAAGGAATTTGAACTGTTTTAGCGCCTTCACAAATCTCTAGTTTAATTCCATTTTTCAACCCAGATTGAAAACAGGTATTACTACACAGTTATTGATACCGACATATTTATAATTTTCTAGAGATGCTCGGTAGCAATAACAAGCCACTTTTCGTGTCGTAAATATGACGTGAGGTGTCATCTTTTACTATTTACCGCCTTGCGAGCGCAATCAAGAGGAAATCCCTGATTTTTGTTACCTTTCTGTGTAAATTGATGTGTGTTGCCGAGATGATCAGATTGGCATGCCGTAATTAGTAACCGGGAAACTGTCCGTTATGTGATAAAAATTTTGGACAAAAATCTAGTCACTCACCACCTTTAATACCTCGGTGAGCTGAGGGTAGTTCTTGTCAGGTTGAAAACCACTGTGGTGTTAACACAGAGCATCGGACATAGGCAGGAGACGCAATGAGGTTATTTTGCATACTTTCTCACCGTCATACTTCATTTAAGCGTTCATTCGTATTCAACGGTGAAGACTTTCGAAAGGGAAACCCTAATCATAATATCCTACTTGAACAAAAGGGAAATTAGGTGCTACAAAATCTATTTCCAAATTTAAACTGCCAAAGTTTTGCGTATTAGCAGGGATGTCACCATGAATTAGATCTAGAATTCCCTGTACAACAGGTTGAATGTCAAGGTTTGCATCCATGTTGTGAAGCCGCAAATACGGTCCTCAACATTTAGTTACAGTCAAGAAGCTTTAGTGTCACGGAGATAATGGCTACATTTTGTTATTTTGGTACATCTATGTATGTAATCACGACAATACGTCACACAGAGCCTAGTTTAGCATCGCCAAATAAATTTCCGACCCAATTAACATTTTTTGCACTTTAGCTGTAGAGAGAGCGAATCATTTTAGACACAAACTCCCTCTACGCCGAACGTTTTGTACAATAGATAAGCACAGCTATGCTAGAGTTTTGTACCATTGATATGCACAGCTATGATGCACTGCAGGCCCGAGAACAAAAAGGGGCTGCATGGGATCAAAGAGAAATCCATGGTTAGGTCATATACTATGTTGCTGTTTGTGGCTTTAAACCTCCCCAAAAAGTTTCTACTGGCCTTGGGCTTGATGCCGTGACTTTGGATGACAGATGTGCTTAGAACCCATCCCGCAATTATTTCTATCGTCTTTTAGAATTTTTGAATGATCTGTTTCACGATAATTCAACAGCAACGAAGAAAGCCGTGTACAGAAATCTGGACTGGCTATTTTTACGAGAAATGGAGGAAAAGAATAAGTTCCTCCCCTGTCTCAACCTAAATATGATACGATTCTGTGGAAAACGCGCGTGAATTGATCACTAATTCAAATAAAATGGTTAAATTTTGTTCTTTGTCAAAATTTACCCAAAGCAATAAGGTGGTGAATGTCATTTAAGGTGGTATGAAAATGGTCTGTTTTACGGACGTAGAATTTATAGACAAACCGGCTGGTACATTATTAGGGCAAACGCAGTATACTCATAGTCCTAGGTGAATCAAAGACTTTGGGGACTTCACAAGAACTGCAATGGTTGGTTTCCCCAGCCTGTGTTTTCCCCCGGTAGAGCGTGACTGGCAGTTTGCTACATTTTCGCAAGATTATCCTATGCATCGTGCCTTAATTTGTGCATTAACGAAGATTTTCCTCAGTTTTGGTGTAATCCTTGTTCACGCTACCGTAATCTTGTGTTAAATCACCTTCTAGGTACCTAACAAAACACATCTTTGTTTCTGGCTAAATGTTTAGCAGTTCCACACAGGTGGTCCCTGACCTCCCTACGTCCTTAAGATCCGCCGCTGTCCTTTGCCTTTTTTAACACAAGCATTCGATCCAGAAAAGGGGGTTCGCTGGGTATATTATATGAAGCCAAACCGTTACATATGGAACATCGTACGCATCAACGAACGTCACCAGTTTCTTATTTAGCCTCAAGCCCAGGTCATTGTGGTACATTTTTCAAGGTGGCAGTGTTACACTGGGCGATTTAGGTACTTAGGTCATGTTGCGAATGACTTAAAATCTTCGTATTACAATATGCTTCCAATTCCTTCTTTCCAATACTAGCCTCAAGTTTTCTAATCCTTTTATTCCAATATAGGTCTCTAACCTCTTGAGACCCATTACCAAGTAGAATCAAATGTGTTGCTGTTATGTAATGATGGCATATCTCGAGTCAATGAAATACCATTTTGGCGCAAGCTATGTATCTAATGCACGTTGTGCAATCACAAGCTCTATTTAGGCAAACCCATGACGGGCCTGGTTGCTAGTACTAATCCTATAAGGCAGGATCTCTAAGAATTTCTGAAACATAGAAAAACGTTTTGAATAACTTCTCCCCATGCTGCTCAACTAGGGCTTCAAGAATATCTAGCTCCTCAATGTTTTGAACTTTCTGAATCTCTCTCTTAATAAGAACTGACAAATAAATCTTCCACCCTGGGTACCAGAGTCGCAAAATCAGAGAGGCGGAGAAGCAGAGAATCCGTAGGAGCTTCTCTGCTCGTATCATCTATTTCCGTGCTCGAATGTATGTGGCTCTGGTATCCAGGGCAACAACTTTCATCCCTCCAGATTCCTTTTTATTCAAGAAAAGCACTATAAAAGCTCTTGCTCTTCCGTGCTGATACTAAACCGGAAATATCTCGTATCTTGTTTGACTGTAGTATGCTTTGCTATGTTGATTTATATAGCTTTATGTCCGAGTTGCTAGTGGAAAACATCATCTTCAGAAATCCGATAAGTAGTTGTGTTATTAGCACCAATCATGCTGCAAACTAGGTGCCCTGCACATGATGTATTGTATCATTTATATATAGTCCAGGTCAGTAATCTTTATCCAGCGCCAAAGGTAATTTGCAAGCTCTCTGCAAGAATAATTGTGCATCGAGGCAGCCGCAAGAATGAACTTTTTCTGTATTTGTTTCTTGTCAGTGCGATGTATCATAAACTAGTGCGATGCATCAAGTGCGATGCATGTTTGTTTCCACTTTACTTTTTGGATGTGAATTTTAATCATTATCAACGATTAGTAATTAAAAGCAAATCACTCAAGCTTCTTGAATTTCTTTTTTCAAAAGTTCATTTTCCGAAGTATTGCTTATTCCTTTGAACATAAACTTTCTATCTCTAAACCTTTTTAGACTGAAAAGACTAGCCGTCATATCTACCGAAAGGTTTTCATCTCTAACATTTAAACGCTTCTACCAGTAATCTGCAAAACAACGTGTCCGTTATTCCAATAAACTTTCCTTGAAAAATGATACAAGATCCTTTCTTTACAGCTAATGCAGCTACCTTATAAGCAATCAAAGGAAGCAAATGATTTAGTATCTATACACACAACTACTTGAGAAGAGAATATACAAAATGACTGCATAATATACCTACCGTATATTAAAAACATGATACTGCCATCCTTAGTATCATGTGGAAATGAGTCCAATAAAGAAGTCCATTTTCCCCCTAAACACAATTTTCGTTTGAAGATTGTCCTCAAAAATAATGTAAAAGGTTTGGTCTCAGTGTGGCACCTCTGTTTGATACGATATTTATTGGTAAAAACTTTTTGCTTTATTGAATTTTTTTTTACATTTTTTCTTTATTCGAGTTTTAAAATCATCTGCCAAAAAGCTTAACAAATTGCTTCAAAGGTCTTTGTTTAAGCAAAGAGTTTTCTAGACCCGTATCAAATAGTCAAATTTCCAAGAAATTTGAAGAGGTGCGATTGAGCGTAATAAACTGATGGCAAGAAAGTGAAAGTAATGAATAAGATATTGGTTTTTTCGATTTTCGTGCATTCATTATCAACTTTTTAAATTTAAAACTCGCATTTATTTCGTTTAATTCCTTTAACTTTTCTATGACGTCGCACGGATCTGGTTTCGCGTTATAAGCACTTCTTTGCATTTCTAAATCTTGATATGAACCTCTTCATTTAAACAAACGCTTATTCAATCCTACTTGATAAGAGCAAAAGCTTCGTTATTGCTTCTTTCTAGCTATCAGCACACTTTATCATCGCTATCCATCTGCTGATTTCTAATGTTTCACCGAAATCGATAAACATTAATCTACCAGGACTTGTACTTCATCATCTACAAGATCATTTATCTCTCAAATTTTCCAATAGAGCATTGAATTTATAAGTTCTGGGAATCTACAAGTTTGCAAAAGATTGTTCCTGTGACCCGAGTTGATCTAGACTGCATCAAACCATTTTTTTAAGTTCTTACCACATTCACATTTGATTCCCAGCAATTTCTACTTTGCTAATATGATCGAGTTGGGAAATTTGACTGTGCAGCTTTGGTTGCTGAGATGGAGAATTGACGTTATTCTGTGTTATTGATATGACGTCACAAAGTATTTAGGTCCCTTACTTAATTTTAGTTTCATTCATTCTTTCATTATTTTCATGTAACCTTTCCTTCCATGCATCTCACTCTCCTGTTGTACTTCATGTTGTACGTCCACTCCAAAAATGGGTAACCAGGTATTTTGGGCTGGCGACGCAATTGCCCTTATCTCTTTTTCTAGTAAACCAAAATTGTTCAAAAAGGGGAGGGAAATGCTTGAATTTTCTCTTGAAAACTGAAGTTAGTGTACCAAGACTTTTCGTAGGAATTGTAGCTGCAAAGCTGCCATCATGTGTTTTTGAAAGGCTAATCAATGAGTGCATGCAATCTTGTGCAAACATCCATGTAAAGTTGTTTTGCCACAAAAATGGGTACCTTTATGTGCATATAAAAATTGGCAAATAAGACACCAAAAATTCTACCTAATTATGTGAACTAGAGAAGAATATAAAGACTAGTATACTGCAGGCACGCTTGATAAATCGTATAATTAGCGTTTGTAGGTAGAGTACTACACCCGAGGTAACTTGGAACCTCCTCAATTGCCGCTAACTTGAAACCTACTCTATTGCCGCTACCTTTTTCCTATTTTAAGGAGACAATTGAAAAAAGCAAACATTTTATAACATAAAAATGTTTTATAATTATATGTTGTATGTTTTTGTTATATATTATAAAATGTTTGCTTTTTTAAAGCCATTTTAAGTTCTGTACTGCCAAAAACTGTTACATAATAAAAGCTTTTTTGTCTGGCACTCATCAGTGTATAGAACGTTAACAATATTGAGGGTCCGAAAGAACAATATTGAAAAATACACCCAGTTGTGGATCAAAAAAGGCCAATCGGAAAAACGCAAGCACAAGACCGGTATAGTTGTCCAATCAGTATCCCGTCCCTATAAAAAAATCAACACTGGAAATAAAGAGAGAAAGCGATATTCATCTGTCTACACAATAGCAGCTTGTTCGTTTGTATGTAGATCAGTTCTAAAACTACTGGATGAAAAGTCGACCGGGCTCTGCCAATTATCTTAACCTTTAGGACATTATCTGCGTTATGTTGTATGTATTGTCCGGTTGCAAAATCACTTGTTTTAGCGATGTTTTAAGACCTACAAGCTCGAGGAGACTATACTGAGTGTAGTGGAATTAGATATAAAAAACGGTCTAACCGGATAAAAATAATATATAGCTGTAATTTGGCACAGATGTTCTATACTAAGTTGGAAATGACCAGAAAAAAGCCCCATCAATTGGGCATTGGGAATTCCTTATTTAGGCATATACCATAATGACGCACTGATCAGTAGTGGTTTAAAACTTTGAGGTTGCTAAAACCACCAAGTATGTATTAGAATATGCAGATTTAGTGGTGATTGGGCAGAAACAAAGTGGGACGAGTGAATATTGAAAAGCGCGCGGAAAATATGGCTGATCCTCTGAATATTTTCTTTTTATATCGCAAATTATATCGATGCAAAATCATTAAGTGTGTGAATAAGATAAAGTATGATAATACCCACTCAGCCCGGGCTGACACAACCCGGGCCCACTCAGCCCGGGCTGACTCAACCCGGGCCCACTCAGCCCGGGCTGACTCTAGTAAAACAATCTTTACTGCAGCAGCAAATTCCGGTCAAATCTAAAGAAATATCTAAATATTAAAAACAAAGTAACTCGTGACCGAAGGGTCCAAACAACATGATTTTTTCATTATATACTAATTTAAAGATGAAGATTTCAATTCTGACAGTTTTTCAACTTTTTCATTGACATCTTCCATCTTAGTAATTTTTGTTACTAAGACGTAAAGAGCACTGCCAATTTCAGTGCAAATTCAGAGTGGCTGCACAAAACTACAGCTTGATGCTGGGCCAGTAATATTCCCTTTATGCCCTTCACTTGAAGAACAGAATTTTAGGGAAATTTGTCGTGGATTGCGGAAATCTGGCAATTTCTCAACCTAACGAGGGAATTCTACACACTTACCGGACGCAGCTTGTCTCAAAATAATACACTGATTGTATAAATTTCAAAATGTTTAGCGGGATTCTTAACCTGCTTCTTGTTGGATAGGATTTCATCATCGCATTTTTTGATCTTGTTAATATATAAGTTGTTCTTAAATAAACTTATATACATTCAGAGGTGGCGCCAGAAATCTTCCAACAGAGGGGTTGGAGCTTCCAACAGGGGGGCTAAATTAACTATAATATGCAGTTTTCGTACGTTATTTTGTCAAATTTGATCCGACAATAACCTAAAATTTTCTTCCGATAGGGGGGCTAGATGCTTCCGATGGAGGGACAGTAGCGCCCTAGCCCTCCCCTGGCGCCACCACTGTATACATTCTATTGCCCAGTTGCCCCCTATCTGCTATTTTTGACCAGAAAGTACTTATTTCCACATTGTAAGGGCGTGTATGTTGAATAAAAGTTGTTCAGCATGAAACTGTCTTTCAGAATATGTACATATGATGTGGTTTTAGCGACATCAAAATTTGAACCCCTGTTGATCAGTGCGTCATATGGGATTTGCCAAAATAAGGAATTCCCAATGTCCAGTTGATGGGGCTTTTTTCTGGTTATTCCCAGTATCGTATGGAACCTATGTGCCAAATTACAGCTTTTTATTATTTTTGTCCGGGTAAAGTCGTTATTCTACCACACTAACTCTTTGAGGAGCAGTTTTGTTCGGTTGCAAAATCGAACATGTTCAGTTGTAGATATTGTCCGGATGCAAAATAAATTGTTTTAGCGATATTTTAAGACCTACAAGCTCGAGGAGGCAGTTTTTTTCTTATATTTGAAGAAACATGTTGTTTTATCCCATCCTCATATCTTTGGATTTTGCGTCCTACGTAGCCAGAATCACACTGGCACACAATTTGAAAAACCAGAGATACTGTCTTATATTGACACTTTATTTCTTGAATCAAGACAAGCCAAGCCTTTCATATTTATACAATTGCTACTGCTTTAAAATAGTGCAACTTGGTCTCATTCTTCTGTTTAGTTTCTGCAAATCGCTGCGTATGCTTTAGTGAAATGCTTCTAACATGGTTCGCTCGTCGTTCTTCAACTGATGGAAATCCTCTGTAGACCAGTCATGCCACGGTTTTTTAACTGACTGGGTTAGCTTTAAAATGTCTTCTTTAGAAGTATATTTTACATCCGAGGCTTATAGCTTTTCTACAGCAATGATAGGCTGGCTCTAACAAAATGTGGTGTAACAAAATATGGTAAAAAGATGCAGTGCCACTTTTTCAGCTCGTAAAAATAAGGTTATTTGACGCATTAGCTTGTAATGAAAATTGATTTTCGCAAAGTCTCCTAAACTCCTTCTCAATCAGAAACTTTAACTCCCCCGAAAAATCATTTTCATGACATCAAAACGGAAAATTTTGCTTTTACAACCGTTTTTATCATAGTTTAAAAATTCGTCGATAGCACTGGTATGTCATACAGCATTAACAATGAATCTAACGTATGTGATAACTCGATATGGCAGCTGCATCGCATTGTAAGGTCATTTCTTATAGCAAGAGAAGATTCTATCGTACAGGTCATTTTCGTTGTTAACTCCTCGCAGGGTGGACGCATTTGGATTGGCAGTGGATGCTCATCTCAGGTCTGCACAGTGTCGTTGCGGTAATTTAACGATGAAATTTGTAACTTCTTCCACAGCAAAGTTTCATTTTGTTCTTACTCAATTTTTGCACCGATAAATGCATTTTCACGAACTTGGGATCAAAAATCTTGTGTGATCTGCTGTTTCAAGCACTTTTTTATCCTTTATGTTTCCTTTAAATTTTTGAACTGTGCAGAATAAGTGCTAAGAATCAACTGAATTATTTGGTTCTTGGCTGACGCTACTGTATGTTCACTGTATTAATTGCTAAAATAATATCGTAATTAGGACATTGTACGTGAAGGGTTCAGGGTATTATCCATAGTTCTTTGAATGCATTAATAGTGTAAACCCTAACAAAACAGGGCTTTTGCTATGACTAAGCTTCAAATGAATTAAATGCTTATTTTAATAATTCTTCTAGATAAATCGTAATTTTTAAGGATCAAATTTTCTATGATAATCACGTATAACATTACATGCAAGGAGAATTTTCTCCTTCGTTTTTCTTCGCTTGAATGGTCTTCTTTCGAAACTTGAGTCTTGTGTGTGTTTTGCTTTCAAATCTAGATTTCCTACGTGCAAATTGACCTTTAGATATACTTTCAAAGATAGATGTTTGTTATTTCTAGGCTGACATTTACCTTTTTCCATTCATCTGTATTTGGTTTTTCTAAATTCCGCAAATTTTAACTGTTCTCATAATTTCCTGGATCAGATTTTTAGGCTTGATACTTCTGTCAATTGGACTAAAACTATTGTGTTTGGATTTTTACATGTGTTTTGTAATATACGCATAATTTTTATTTTTCATCATCAATTTTATGCTTACCATTGATAACATGATCCAAACATTTTTAATGCTTTACGAATCAGGCCGTTTAAAGCGTTTACTTCAAATACTTCTCTTGAAGGAAAGTTTTAAGTTGTAAAGCTTTATAATCAAAATGACTACATGAAATGACCAATCCTTAATTTATCAACAGCTTTCTTTTCATTTTCATTGAAACCAACGTAATAATTACTAATTATAATCCATAAAATTAACCCGTGACGTCATTTATACGATCGGCTCTGAAGATATTAACTTTGCTTTCAAAGTCTTGGTTTTGATAAAGGATCAAGTCAATCTCATGGTCTTGTCTCCAAACTCGCGATAAACTCTTATGTTTACAAAAGCAGGTGAAAATCTTGCAGTTCCTTTAACATTATGTTTGTCCAACTGCTGTTTATTTTAAGTATTATAAGCCAACGCTCAACCATACATCGACAGGTCTTTGAGTTACTCTGACTTTGTATTTTCCTTCTAGATTATTGAGAATAAGCTGCAGTAAAAATCAGAAATCTGCTCAGTCAACTCGAAAACCAAGGTGAGTGTTATTTTATTGCTCTTTTTTCAAATAGGCCTACGTTAAGGTGCACATGCCCTAAGGTGGTAGCAACAAACGTCTTGTTGATTTTCCTTCTATTTATTCAACTATATTGGCCTTTAACTATGCCTGAATTATGTAGAAAATATAACTGAGTGCGCGCGAATTCCCAGTGATCACTAATGGAAAATCGTAAGCAGTAACACAGTCTACAGATGTTCGTTTGCATGCCCAAAAGCGAACATTAAAAGTTTATACCTGTACAAAGAATTTTAAGGTCGACCAAAAGAGCGGACACTGCATTACTCGAGAATTTGATCACTCCCAAAAGGACATGTAGGAAACTCCTTCTCTCCCTAACGAATCTATGTTATTGCTTGCACGCCCATTGGTTTGGCACTAATTTGCAGAGAACCGTGATTAGGCGTGGTTTATGATATATGTTAATCTATCCTGTATGTATTTTGATATACGCTATCGTGGAAGTGGGTGTTGGCATATATCATATTTTATAGATGGCTTTGGATATTTAAATGAGAAGAAGAGTCTCAGCTACCATAAATCTAGGACTATGAAACTATGAAATTTCCTATTTATCTAAGGCGCTCTACATGTAATCGCCAATTGCAACATTGGGCCTATGTCATGCGATTTTTATCTATGTTTTAGAGGCATTCGCTGGAGTTGAATATTTTTCTGTCATAACCACGAATTCTTTAGAAACTGGTTTTATCTTCTCAAAATCTGAAGCTATCAAAATGTTAAATTTGTTCCTTGAACTAATCCCTTGCACAAAGGTGTTTTAGTGCTAAGAATAGGTAAAGTATGGTTAGAGCATTATCGATGTGGGAAGATTGATTTGGATGCCGAAAGAAATAAGGCATTTATCCGTTCCTTCCCATCCCATGTTCAGTTGATGTTGGTTGCACTATTTAAGCCCCTCCCCCTCTTCCCTGGCCATAATTCTCCCCCGCTTCTACTGCCTCTGACCCTCTGAGGATACCAGACCCAGGGTACGAACGGCTCTGACGCGGACACCTGTTGGTCCGTTTTCTGAAGGTTTAAAAGCTTTGTCAGCGAGAGAAGAACTTAGGGACTTCTTTCGTCAATGATTGCAAGTGTTATTGGACAATGCTGTTAATTGAGGTTTATCTGATCGTCTGAAGAAATCCGACAGTAAGAATAAAAATGAAAGAGGCGTGACTTTTAAATCGAGTAATTTTGTAAGTATTTTAAGTGATTGATTCAAGTGATTGATTCAAGTGATTGATTTGAGTGATTGTTTTAGCGTTTGATTCAAGTGATTGATTTGAGTGATTGTTTTTAGTGTTTGAGTGATTGATTGGAGTGGCTGATTTGGGTGATTTATTTGAGCCCTTGATTTGATTGATTGTTTTAGCGTTTGATTCAAGTGCTTGATTTGAGTGTTTGTTTTTAGTGATTGGTTTGAGTAATTGATTCGAGTGATTGATTTGAGTGATATTCTGGGCACTATAAACCCTATTATAACGGAAACGAATCCAGAAAAACTTTGGACGTTCTTTATCTATTTAGAAAATTTCTTTATTATAACAAAAGCGAGTTCTTGGGTCCTTAAAAAACTTGAATTCATCACGCTCAATGCGTTCATCGGGCAGTTAGGAAGCGAAATATACATAATGTAAATGTATGAGTTTTCTCTCTCCAAAATAATTTTTTTTATCTCCAGAAAAAAATTATCCTCTTTACTGCTTTTGCAATATCAAGGTGTCTGACCAGAAAACAAAACGTGTTGCGCCCTCTGTTTCAGAGCTCCCAACGACCTGATCTCAGTTTATATTACAATTGACCTATAAAACGAAGTTATCACATTAAATGCCACTATCTACGTGACTTCTCTTTGAATCAAAGTTTTGTAGTTTTCTTATTACACAATATCCATCTTACAGCTATAAATGAGAATCGTTTCCGCCCGCGGAATGATACAAATTTGACACACTGCCGGTTTGACGTATGAACTAGAAATATGATATGGAATTCCTAGAATCCGCGTGTAAACGAGACAACAATTTACCTAGCCATGTGTCCTCTGGGTAAATTTGTTTTCCGTAATACTCTGTTAAGCTTCAGCGGTTAAATAGAATTCTGAATATTTTCTCCTTTATTTCTAAAAGTAGGCCGTGTAACCCCTCTGGTCCGGACTTCCTGTGAAATTTGAAATAGGCTTGCGTCCATTGTTTTTTCAATATGACGTAGATATTCCTGTACAGCAAATGCGCCAGTATTTGCACTGCACGCCCAAGGATCTTGATGTAAAATAGGATCTTGACGCACTGGACATCTTGCGGTGTCAGCAAAAAATACTAAAGAAGGTTTATAGAAATTAAAAGTTCCATTTTAACTTTACTGATAGAAGATTTCATCGTGTTAAACAAAGATAGATTTTACCAAAGTTTGTTTCTCATTTTTCTTTTTGCTTTCAATGGCTGTGGAGGTATTTGTGATACTGATCACGTGATTTCGTTCCCTCACGGTACTTAACAGGAACATGAGTTTAAGGTAAAGTTTTTTATCACGATTTTCGCAGAAGAATCTCGTCCTTTCGTTTCTAAATACGACTTTTGAAGTTTAACACCTTTTATCTGAGTTAAGAGTTTTAATCTATGTGACATTTGGTAGCGGACGTTCTTTGCCGACCTACTGCGCTTGAGACACTTGACCTCGTAGGAATTCCAGATAAGCACTTCATCGACTGGAAAAAAACAAATCTTTACATTGCTCTGTTTTGAATGGTCAAAAAAATCTGGAGGATCACTGTTTGTTTACAATTTGTCACTGCTTTTGCTCAATATTATGTTGATATATACAGGGGAAAGGTTAGTACAAATGTTTTTCTGACAATCCTTAGTTTTGCGTGCTCTCTATAAAAACGGGGTGTTGTGTCTGGTGATTTTCTAGCCCTGAAAGTATGGTCACTTTCCGATGGTAGAGAGTTCGATAAGCATTCGAAAGTCATGCACCAGCCTAATCATAATCGTTAGAAATCCTCAACCTTTTTGTTTATATTTCCATATGGTCTCCTTATATTTATTTCAATTATTCATTAATTTTTTTAATTCGGGTGCAAGGATTTCACTTGAAGTTTTTGTAGAAAACCTTATATTCAAAAATGAGCTACTTTCGTTGCATACAATTCAAAATTTTTGAATATCAAAATTATTGCACATTCTAAAATATGATGTTTAGCAAATGTAAAAACTCTCGTGAGTCGTGATGCATTAAGAGGTTTCGTCTGGCCTTTAGACTGCACGTTCATGGTCACACACCCAAGTGAAAATCTCTGTCTTATTCTCTATTATATCTCCATTATATCTCTATTAAATACGTATTACAGTTGCTCTAAGATGCTCATCGTTATAAAATATGAAATCTCTGTGCCTTTGACCTTCATTTACGCATTTGCTACATCTGATTATGCAACCTTGAGACCGTGAAAACTTGAGTCGTCTTTTACTACAGTGTTGGTCTTTATTCAAATTAATTGCAAAAATTTCCAGCATAACAAAGTCACGAACAAACGTTTTCTGAAAATCGATTTTTCCTCAATATGCACTTGTCCAAAAACCTGTCACGCCAAAAGTTGTTGTTGAATGAAAGTAACTTAGTGACACCAATAACTTGAACAGATGTAGTTTGATTAAATCTAAAAAATGGCGCTGTAAAAAGTTTTTCGTTTGTCACCGGTTAACGATACAAAATTTCTGCTATATGAGTTGTATTACGTCAGAAAAACGTCCTTTATCGTCCTTCAAGAAGTTGTCATAACTTTTCCATTTTCTCTTGCATGGGCTCCGACGCAGGTTGGAAAGTGGGGGGTTGGAAAGTTAGGGGCAAGGGAGATTTTAACAATCATAACAAAAGAATTTAAAAAAAGGTTTTCGTTTTGAAAAAAGTAGGAACCATGGCCACCCCGCCCCCCCCCTTTCGTTGGAGGCACTGTCTTGTCTTTTCGATCAGTACCAAAGCCTTAATGAAATTGCTGGGGGAAGTTTTGCATCTCCGTTGAATCGCCACTGAATTATTCTAATATCATGTATATGTTCTGTGATAAAATCGCAGTAGCACTAGGTCAGTATAAGTGCAGAAAGATCTTGTCCAAGAAACATCATAGTTCGCTGCCATTATGAAGTCATAACTAATGAAGGCTTAAATAGCAAGTGTTCCAATGAGGGGCAAAAGTTAGGGGAGTTGAATTTTTTCCGAAACTTTCTTTGTCCGAAATAAGACCTAAAACGTCAAAAAAATTTATTTGTCCCAACTTCATTTTCTGAAATCTTTTCATCCGAATATTTGTGTTAACGTTTAGCAAACGCCGCTTTGTCGAGATGAGAGTACCTGTTGGGGAGACGAACCAGCATTTGACTGAAAGTCTACTCGTATTCAAAATTTTGCATCATATGCACCTGCGCAGTTACAATTGCCATCATCAGTTTCACATCGCATAATATATTTTGTGGTAGAAGCATTCGTGGCTCTTATGAGAATAAGCCATTCAAATCAAAAAAAGAAGAAAATTTAGGAAAAAGGGTGACACAAGAAAAGTGAGAATAAAATTCTGGTTAATATATATGCAACTATGACATATAATAGTTTTGACAAAATTCTGTGAAAGGCAATGAGATGTAATTTGTCCTTTGCCTTAATGCGAATACCCATATAATGCACTTTCTCATTGGCTCAGACTAATAGATAGAACAATTGCCTAATCAATAAAATTGGAGACTCGTCTCCCCAACAAGTAAAGGTAGCAGAGTTACTGTTTGTTGAAGAAAAATTTCCTGTGCTGTTGATATATATATGTTGCGTGAAGTTGGTGTCCAGGTCCACTGGTGGAGATTTATCTACATAGTGTTAAAAATCTTAAGGTGTATAGTGTGAAGTTTAAAGATGATTTTCAAATTTTCAAGCCGGATTATAATTTTTGTCTCTTAATGGTTCTCCAAATATTTTAAGGTAAAACG